GAGTGTGGGAGGGGACCCCCCCCACACAGCCCACAGCCAGCCCAAGCACCAGTGGCTGGGGGTGCCTGGGCTGCGGGCAGCAAACGCAGCAATGACAGTGCTCACATGCAGAGGGAGTGGAGATGGAAGTCTTGGGTTTCTGCCCCAAAAATACACATCTGGACCACTTTCAGGCTCCCCAGCCCCTGTCCCAGGGTGGGCTGGCTGGGGGTTGCACCCTGCCAAGGCAGTGACACCGGGCACAGAGGTACCCAGAGCTATCTGATGTCCCTGTCCCTGCTGTGCTGTCCCTCCTCCAGCAGCAGCAGGGTCCCCCGTCCCCAGGCAATGCCTTTCCCAGGGCCACACAGCATCCCGCCCTACTGCGCTGAGGACCACCACAGCTCATGACACCTTGCAGCAGGCACAGCAGCACCCTGCCCACATGACCAAGGACAAGTCAAGCCTAAAACACTGCAGGAATCAAACCCGGAGAAACCACACAGCCCAGCTCTGGGGTACAGGATCCCTGAGGTCCCTGGGAACACGGGGGGAACAAGCGTGGCCCCACTGGGGTCCAGGACTCACCGTGAGGCAGGTCGGCCGTCAGGTGCGGCATCATATAGCTGCGGATGAGCTCCCACCCAAAGTCATCGTCCTCGCCCTGGCTGTACTCGCACTGGTTCGGGTCACCGTCCTCCTCAAAGGTGCAGCCGGCTGCCGAGAGAGAGATAGAGACCCATCAGCACCCACTGAGACCCTGCAGAGTGGCTGGTCCCTCCCCAAAAGCCCTGCCAGGACAGTGTGTTGTCCCCCGAAATGTGTGTGGGGACCCCAAGCATCCCCTCACATGCACCCACGAGCAGGGATACAGCTGCTAATCCCCCATTCAGTTCCCCCACCAATGAAGTGAGCTAGCAGGTCTCAGCTTTGCCTCCTGGGGGCCAGTCACCAAATGGGGACTTTCTCCCAAGAAACAGGCACTCACTCCAGCACTCACCTAAGTACTTGCAAGACCCTGAGGGCTCCTGCAAAAATCCTGCTTCAGCCTGTGTTCTGACCCTGAGCTCTTGGGGGTCTGTCCGTGGCCTGACACGACAGCGACAGGTCTCAGCCGGGACCTCCAACAACCCGCAGCAATCACCCCCCTA